TATATATATACTAGCGTGCAAAAGAAACGCAAAAAAACTATTTTGGCCTTAACTAAATAACCATCAACGGTAGAAGATTTAAGTTTACACTTTACACCCTCGATAGTATATCATGTCTTCTTTGAAAATGAAAAGTCGCCCGCCTTGCTTGTCACCGGCAACTAGAGTTATTGCCCTTTAATTCAAGCATGGAAAAAGCCGCGAGGTGCCTTCGAAACATGGTCTAAATGAGTGGGAAAAAGGGTGAAAAGTAATCTCCTGAGCTCGGCTGTCAAAGCCGTGGTAAAAAATCGCTATACGAATGTGAGAAGCGAGAAATGCTATACAATGTTTCGCGTACAATTGATATACATTTATGAAGAAACATTTTATAATATAGAGTCTAAATCTAGATCTAGCCTCAATTGTGGAAAAATAATATGATTAAGTTAAGACAAATTTATAAAGACTGATGTGCAAAGTATGGGTGACTGATTCACCCGTTAAAGAGATATTTGAGGATAAGTTGCGCCGCGAATTTTTGACCGCACTATAAAACCAACCTTTGATACCATTCTGGACCAAAGTGCTGGATGCCCCCAGTTTGAAATCCCAATTGGGTGTTCTTAAACTTAGATTGTTTTAAGGAGTTTTAACGGTTTAATTTACCCTGGAGAGTTTAATGATTAGATAGTCTTGGCGGCCAAGTCCTGAGAATGCTACGAACACATCTTCTAAGTACTGTATTATATCCGCATGGTTGCATGGCACGGTCAGACGAATTAACCTCGCGGACCGGATCTGGCCCGTTGGCCGTGGTTTAATTTTTAACCCTTAACGTATCTAAAAAGTTCTGGTCTACTTAACCTTATTATAATCGCGAGTCTTTGTCATGTGTTTCTGATGTTAGTTACATGTGGGCTATTTTTTGTTCATGGTTTCTGGTGCTGAAAAATTGACTTCAAGCAAAACACAGAAAATACTGCTCCAGAGACACGCCGTCAATACTGGAATACTGTGCCTTTGTACGTACATCGGCCTGTTTGAACTTGGACTAGCCTAGTTAACGTTTTCAAATGAGTTCGCGGTTCGGGATACATAATAGAGCCAGATAAGCTTTAAAAAAATGAAATGATCAGGAGGCGAGGAGTATAAAAGACGACGCGACCCTTGTGTTGACAAAATACTGAATCGGCTTGGATCCCGTTGGAAGAGAAGCAACTGCAAATCATGGTCTCCCTCACGATCTTTTGCCTCCTGAGCTGTGTGGTCTCGGGTGCCGTCACACAGAGTATCTCTTCCCTGTCTACGTCTTTGAAGGCTTTGGAAGCGTCTTTGGACCAAAATAACGATGGACAGGTTGGCTTTTTTCCTTTTGCGAAATTCTCAAGTCTCCTAAAAACATAGTTATGTTGCATCTAGTTCATTTTCACGGTCGATGATAATGTCAGGAATTCACAGCTGTAAAGAAAGCTGTAAATATTGCCTTCCAGAACCTTTATTTCGATAGTCATTGACATGTTACTATTTTTCAGGATTGGGCTTATTTTTTTTAACTGTTTACAATTATCGCAAATCTCCATTCTATTTCTGTAGAACATTAATTTATCATCTGATGTATTTAAACTGTTCAACTTGTTTGATCTCTTCATCTACGATTATGAGATAACAGATAGGATTTTGGCCTACTGCTCTTTTAGATTTTACCATGCATTCTGTTGTATTCCCATTCAGCAACAACGCTGTACGTTCACTTTTATTTGAAACAGTATCTAGAAGCAATTGAAGTCGTTTTCTGAAACATGCGGATAACTTGAGAACGACAGATGTACGGTTTTGGCCGATATTTATAGTAACAGCCATCTTGTTTGACGTCATTGAGGGATTCCAACTTTGTTGTCGTTCACGGTGGCAACACGACCGCAAAGCACTATTGCAGTATTTTTAAAGCCTGTAGCTTACAGTGGCGTGGTGGCGGAGTGGTTAGTGCGCTTATCTCCAAAGCAGAAAGTCCAAGTTCGAGCCTCGGTTCGGCCACGGGTTTTTTTTTCGACCCCTCTTGCCCACCCACTTGTAATGGGTGCCTGACCTAAGAGCTTTGTTGTTATTTAAACGCCAAATTCTTCCAGTGTGACAATCACAGTGAGACATTATCTGGCAAGAGTAGTTTTTATTTGTTTACTTTTCTTAATGGCAGTTTGTACTCCTGCTTCCAGAATTGTTGGTTCATTTATTTATTTATTTATTTATTTATTTATTTATTAGTTTGTTTCTTTGTTAATTTGTTAATTTGCTTGTTTATTACATTTTTCCTTCTCACTTATCTTTGAAAAGCTCTTCCACGTATTCTAACCATCTGTTTAAAACATACACTTTGTCCGTTAAAAAGTCTCGTTGTTATGCAGTCTGTATTTACGCGTCCTTTTATCCCTCTTACACTGCATGTATTTGTTATCTGTGTTTTGATTCCTCTTTTAGTTGACACCTATCGGGTATACTAAATGAAATAACGTCTTCACTTGGGCTTGGAACTCACGTCCCTTGCGTGCGGTGGCAAAAATCTTATCAGCGCCACTAACACTTGTCTTCACCCCCCCCCTCCTCAAATTTTTACTATTTTCTAGGTAACAAAGGCAGAGAGAGACTTTGACCTCCAGAACAACTTCGACACTAACCGAGATGGCTGTGTGGACGCCCTCGAGTGGTCAACAAGACTAACATGTAAGTGAGCTCCAGCTTCATAACAGAAACCCAGCCGTGTGTTTATGTAGAATTCGCTGTACACATGTTTTTCGTTATCGTTATCGTTGTCGATATTGTTACTTTCATCATCATCATCAACATCATCATCATCATCATCATCATCATCATCATCATCATCATCATCATCATCATTATTGTTATCATCATTATTCAACAAACTCAAAATTGAGTTGTCTTGATGTAACCATATTGACATTGGTAGGGACAGAACAGTTTTGACCAATACATCTAACACCTCGGAGTGCAATAAGATAAGGAGCTGTCTGTGGAAACCCACGTACCATAGCAACATTTTCTACTTAGAGCTGAGTCTTCTTCTTCTTCTTCTTCTTCTTCTTCTTCTTCTTCTTCTTCTTCTTCTCCTTCTCCTTCTCCTTCTCCTTCTCCTTCTCCTTCTTCTTCTTCTTCTTCTTCTTCTTCTCCTCCTCCTCCTCCTCCTCCTCCTCCTCCTCCTCCTCCTCCTCCTCCTCCTCCTCCTTCTCCTTCTTCTTCTTCTTCTTCTTCTTCTTCTTCTTCTTTGTACTTTTGCTGTTATAACATACTTTCCCCTTCAGCATTGAACTTCACCAAAGAACTGGCTTCCTATATCCTCACCCTGGCAAGATCAACAAACATCAGCCGTCCCGCCGGCTGTGACGGTATCTCTGTGTACTACGGACAGCCCGGCACCACGGAGGGACTCGTGTCTAGTTATATCTACACACTGACGCGCATGTGTGAAGGGGACACGACTCTCTACCTCACCAACTCAGACTGCCGGTAAAAGAAAAAAGAAAAAAATGTTGTCACCGCAAATGTTTTACCCGACTCATTAATTATTGTCCCCTCAAATTTTTTACCCGACTCTCTACCTCACCTACTCAGACTGCCGGCAAAGAAATTAATTGTAATTTGCAAATCGTCAGTGCATTTCACTATCCGCGTATGGAGCATTCAGATACTTTCCAGAAAATGTGAAAAACAGTTTTTTTAAAATTAGTCTAATACACGTTTTAGTCTCAGAATTTCTACAATTTTTATTTAATTTGTCAAGAATTATTGACACAAAGTAAAATGTGAGAGCTGATTTTTAAGAGTGTGCTTAGGTCAAATACATGTGCAGTACCGTCGGCGACTATAGTCGTCAGGCGTAATATGCGCTCACTAACCGCTGGCGACTTTGGGTCACCGACGCGAACTAGCACACTGAACATAATTAAACAACGAACGGACGCACTGCACTGAAGTAAATACCAAAGGAAGTCACTCTATACGATAGCTGAATGGTTGATGAACCTCTATGAATTTTTAAAGCGTGTTTCTTGGGCTGCCAAGTTTTTTTTTAATTGCAAAAATTCTACCACAGCTTCAGCGTTCTAAACAGATGCGGAACTTGAAGTTTTTCACTGTATGAGCCTTCGGTACTGTAAGTGTTAAAGACCGGAGTTTTCAAAAGTTTGTTCCATACGTGGATAGCAAACTGCAAAGACGAGATGTTTTACGCCAGAATCAACACAATGTAACGGCAATGACCGGTCGTAAACATTTCACTGTAGGCGCCTTTAGACAGCTGCTGGTTTGGGGGGGGGGGG